AGGAGAATTTAAAAAATCACTATATCTTCAGGTCCGATTTACCACGCCCCCAATGGGCGTAGACTTATAATTTTATCTTTAGACTTTATAGAATCATACCATTAGCTGACGTGCAAAATTTCAGCATTCTAGGTTTACAACTTTAGGAGATACAGTTTTATCCGATTTGCCACGCCCCTAATGGGCGTAGATATATCCGCCATAGCTTGTGATCTTGGGTAGTCAACGCGGACCTACATAGCAAATTTCAGCTTTCTAGCTCTTTAACTAACATGATTTCTGGTATATCGGAAAATGCATTTTCCGATTTGCCACGCCCCTAGTGGGCGGATCGGGAAAATTTTAACACTTTATAAATCGGAGATATACACGAGTATGTGTTCCAAATTTCAGGTCTCTAGCTTCAATAGCGCCGAAATAGATTGCGTTCATACGGACAGACGGACAGACGGACGGACGGACAGACGGACGGACAGTAAGACGGACATTGCACAAAACCAATATACTGATTCACTTTCGTGAATGAGTATAAAAATTGTACGGTACTTTTATTGCGCGTTGATCACCGCTGCTAAATCAAGATAGAATTGGCTAATTGGCCATGATTAATGAAATTATGGTTTTAAATTTCAATTTGAAAAAATATATATACATACATATCTATATATATAAAAGAGAGTTGTGTAAAAGTGTCTTAGCACTTATAACTCGAGATCTGCTGGACCAATTTTCATGGTTTTTGATTTGTTGGATTTGTCTCCGCCACGAGGCGGATCAGTAGATCTTTAAAATACTGAAAAAATTTGACGAATACTTGATAAACGCGGTTTTTTCCCTAAAGATTCAAATTTCCATTTATACTCAGTAGCCTTGACAACAGTGACAGTTTCGGTCCTGTATAGAAGTAAATAAACAAATGTAGTCAGTCAGTCTACGGCACAGCCTCGAGCAGACCTGACTATTCAACAAAAAAAAAAAAGACTATTCAACAAAAAAAAAAAAAAACAGACTATTCAACAAAAAAAAAAAAAAAAAAAAAAAAAAAAAAACTATTCAAAAAAAAAAAAAAAAATAAATAAACAAAAAAAAAATGTTTTTTTTCCAAATCAAAACGAAAAATATTTCAAATCAAAAATCTGCAAAAATTCAAAAAAATCAAAAGATTAAAACCTGACTGTTCAAAAAATAAATAAAAAATTCAAAATTCGAAATTAAAAAAAAAAAAAGTTAATTATTAAAAAGTGTATTTTTGGCTTTTTATATTTTTGGACTTTTAAACTTTATAAATATTTCAAATCAAAAATCTGCAAAAATTAAAAAAAAATCAAAAGATTAAAACCTGACTAATCAAAAATAAATAAAAAATTCAAAATTCGAAATTAAAAAAAAAAAAAAAGTTAATTATTAAAAAGTGTATTTTTGGCTTTTTATATTTTTGGACTTTTAAACTTTATAAATAATAATTATGCGCGTGCGTACAAAAGCTAAATATCTCGAATGTTCAGGTATTTGTTTGTCTCAAACATAAATTTGTGAAAATTATTTATATTTATATTTCTCGATTGTTTTATATAATAACAAGTAAGAACGTTGCAGTCGGGCGATACCGATTGCAGAAGACTCATTCACAGCCCAAACGCTGTCAACCAGAGTATATAGTGCAATTTTCAAGTCTAGTGCGCAGCAAAAAACACGGCATGATGCCATTAAAATTGGAAAATCATCGATAGCTATTGCATTCAAATTACATACATATATAATTTATACAATTTTGATTTTTATTATATATTTATATCCATACATTTGATACCGGCTTCAAGCTAACAGCAGATCAGCGCGATTTTCCTATGCTTGTGCACACACTTATCGTCTATTCTATGCGTACAGACAGAAGCGCGCCTTTTCTCACATTCTTAGAATTTCGATTGATTTCTGGAATTTCTAGCCGTTACTGTAGTTTTGTCTGATGACGCTCTCTTATGAGGCTATTCTATTTTAGCAACTGATTTCTGGAGCAAAGCAGTGGCGCGGGTGCTAAGGCCGACGCAAGTAATGTTAGAGTAGGGGAGGTTCGAACCTCTACTATGTTATTATTATTATTTTTTTTTTCATACATATTTCGTTTTTTATAAAATAGATATTTAATTGGGAAGGTGCAAGCTTGACTGAATGGCACTTAATACTTTTCTTTTTCTTAGTCGAATAATTTTATAAGTTTAAATTTGTTTCTTCTTAAATAGCCCTCAAATACATATACGCAAATACATACATATGTATATATAATTATATATGTAATCCCGCACGCATAGCATCAAGCATTCCAGCCTTATACACGCGCTCATTTGTATGTATGTATGTACACATAAATGCGTGCTCTAGCATATTCTAAGAATCCCGTTGCGATTGATTTGTCTTTGCATTGTTTTTGAATTTCCAGCCGCTACACTGGCTTTTCTTTGCTATGTGGCGTCATAACAATAATATGATTTCGATTTAACTACCAATCGAAACGACGCGGTGGTGCTGTAGGCTGAAGCGCCGACGATCTTTATTTTAGCTATTTTGACAAACATGCTGTTTGGGTTGGGTACGAGTTCAAATCCCGCTGAAAACACTTTTTTGTAAATTGCAAATTTTTGTTATTTTAGCTTTTTTATATTTTATTAATTTTATAAAAATGTTTCCTTCCGTGCTATCAATGCCTATTAAGCCTACTTATGTGTACATATACATAAATAGATGGCTGACGCATATAAATGTCGCAATTCGGGCACTGTAAATGCCGATTGCCACGCCCCTAGTGGCCGTAGACTCCTCAATTTTAGCCAGTTCTTAGAACGAGCAACCGGTTACCTAAATACAAAATTTGAATTCTTACGCTCAAAACATGTGAAAATTACAGGGTATTTTTCGATATGCCACTCCCATAAAGAGGCTTAAAAATTATTTTTGGGGCATCAATAGAGGAGGCCACCAGTAACTTAACTATCTAAATTTGAAGCTTCTAGCTCTTAAACTGTAGGAGATATAAACTTTTGCGGTTTGCCACGCCCCCTATAGGCGGACATATATCTACCATAGCTCGTTGGACGTGGGTGGTCAACCCGCGTATATATACAAAATTTCAGGTCTCTAGCATCAATAGTGCCTAAAATATAGCAGAACTCGAAAAATCACTATATCTTCAGGTCCGATTTGCCACGCCCCTAATGGGCGTAGATATATAATTTTTTCACCTATCTTCATAGAATTAAAACATCAGCTTACATGCAAAATTTCAGCATTCTAGGTTTATAACTTTAGGAGATACAGTTTTATCCGATTTGCCACGCCCCTAATGGGCGGAGATATATCCGCCATAGCTTGTGATCTTGGGTGGTCGGCGCGGACCTACATACCAAATTTCAGCTTTCTAGCTCTTCAACAAACATGATTTCTGGTATATCGGAAAATGCATTTTCCGATTTGCCACGCCCCTAGTGGGCGGATCGGGAAAATTTTAACACTTTATAAATCGGAGATATACACGAGTATGTGTTCCAAATTTCAAGTCTCTAGCTTCAATAGCGCCGAAATAGATTGCGTTCATACGGACAGACGGACAGACGGACGGACAGCAAGACGGACATTGCACAAAACCAATATACTCATTTCACTTTCGTGAATGAGTCTAAAAATGTCGCGTCCTAGAAGATCTAATCTTTCCCGGCGGACCCATAATGCAATTAGGCAACGGAATATCGCGAGTCAATTATGTGACGAAGAGCGAGAAATCGCCAGAGAAAGCCTCCGCGTTAGTACCCAGCAAAGAAGGGCCTTAATTCGTGCTTCTCAAAGAGAGGCAGCCCGTGAAATGGCAATAAGAAATGGTTCAAGGATTGATTTGAATCGAGAAGCGTTTCGATATGATTGCACCATTGACTATAGCTTGAATCGTTTAGTTTGCATTGGTCCAATGGACGTTGTTTGCCAGCATTGTGGCGCATTGAAGTTTACTGGTGAAACGCCTGGTTTGTGCTGCCTTAGTGGTAAAGTGACATTGCCATTAGTGGTCCCGCCACCAGAGCCATTGCGTTCCCTACTTTTCTAGCGAGCACTCAAAAATACAATGCCTGTTTCCAATTCGGGGCAGAGACAAATCCAACAAATCAAAAACCATGAAAATTGGTGCAGCAGATCTCGAATTATAAGTTTTGTAACAAACTCTACTTTGTTTTATATATATAGAGACTGTTAGGCGGTACGAAGTTCGCCGGGACAACTAGTATAAATATATATTAAAATCCTTTAGTTATAAAACTACGTTTATATGAATAAAATCTTGTTATTATTTTTATTTCTAAATAAAAATGTGTTTCTGTATTCAATAGTAATGTGCTAAATCTAGCTTGAAATAGTCTAAGCTAGCAACACTAGCTGATAGCTAAAACGAAAACAAAACGTGAATGATGTTTTATATTTTCTTTCGTTCGTTGCTTCTTTATTGTACAAGTATTTGCATACCGAACTTTTCGGTATATAAGCATAGCTCGTTTTGTTTCGTTCGTCCGCGATGCTTGGGCTAACCTATTTGAAAAGAACGAGACAGCAAGCACTTCCAAAAAAGAGTGTCTCGTTTAGCGTTTCAAATGCATTCGTGCAGGCTTCTAGTATGTGTGCATAAAATAAGTGCACAATGAATAGAATATCAGCTTGGAGGGTTCAGGGTATCTCCTAGTCGAGCAGTCTCGGCTATAGCACAATTACTTGTTTGTTTAGTTGTTGTGTAAATCTAAAAAGAAAACTAATTCCCTTGCCATTTTTAATTATCGGGACTCGACTGTACTTCATATATACATACTTCATATGTACATACATTCTTTTTTTCAAAATAGGGGATACTACTATTTATAACTGTTTAATATACAAATATAAATTTAAGAAAAACTGTTAGTTATCTAAGATTTTTTAAAGAACATCTCTTGTTTTTTTTTATATGTGCGGCTAACGGAATAATGTAGGACATAATGTGTCATCAAAAGCAACGAGTAATGGGACAATGTGTGCCAATGGGTCTTTTGGAACAGAGGGGCCCGAAGCGACAGAGACCGACTCATCAGGGACCGGGCGGATGCGGAAGCCGTTGGAGAGGAATGGCTCAACGCAGAACGACACTGTTCACCTCGAGAGAAGGTAAAAATTAGCATTGGCAACAAAAAGTATAATAAGATCCAGACAGACGATTTCATGCACTCACGATTTGGATAAATATATATATCATTTATTATACCCTGAACCCATTGAAAATTGGGTATATCTGGGTGTAATGGTTTTGTGAAAAGTATGTAACAGGCAGAAGGAATCATCGCAGACCCCATAAAGTATGTATATTCTTGAACAGGACGATGAGCTGAGTCGATATAGCCATGTCCGTCTGTCCGATCGTCCCTCCGTATGAGTAAGCCGATTTCAGAAGATATAAGAGTTAGAAAGATATAAGAGCTGAAATTTGGCATGCATACTTGTGTATACCATGCGCAGTACAAGTTCATGAAATTTTTTCGATAGCTCATCCGATAACTTATGTATCGAGAATAATTGAAAAACTGATGGAGACTATTATTACTTCTATTTACTGTGTATATACATTTGATGAATACAATCATTTTGTAATTGACAAAAACGTACATATATCAAGTTCTAGAGACCTGTGCTTTGAAATGTACACACATTATTTTTTTATACCCTGAACCCATTGAAAATGGGAAATCAGGGTATAATGGTTTTGTGAAAAGTATGTAACAGGCAGAATGAATCATCACAGACCGCATGAAGTATATATTTTCTTGATCAGGGCGACGAGCTGAGCTGATTTAACCCTGCCCGTCTGTCCGTCCGTCCGTATGTTTGAGCGCGTCGATTTCAGAAGATATAAGAGCTAGAGACCTACAATGTTTTTCCTAGGTCCGTGTTTTCTTTAACTTCTTCAGCTTGGCCCGTTACTTTGTTATCGATTAAAAACATTATCGAAAATCATTAATAAATTTATATCTGCTACACCTTAAGAGATAGAGTCGCTAAATTTTAAATGTAGATTCATACACTGCGCGTCATCAGGTTAGCGCCTCCCATTACACTCAATCTCAAAGCTGAATAAAAGCTAAACCATCAAAGCTTCATCTTTAAATTTTCTTTGTATTATACTACATTTATTTCTCTTTAAAATAAAAAAGCAATGGCTAATGTAACAATAGGGAATCATTTTTAATAATTTTTTTTGTAAAATGTACAAAAAAAAAAATGTAACTGTATTTTATGCTATTATTATTTTTAAGTAATATTAGTAGTGCGTAGTGCCGTTTTTTGTTTGAAATTACTTCAAAAATTCGATTAGGAATGGAACTATAAAGTTGTTCAATATTATTCAAGGATATGGTTGACCAAACGTGTTCAGTACCTTCGATTAACTCTGTCTTTGTACTATAATGCTTTTCGGACTCATATACTTTCCTGAGTGAAGTGAGTATGGTGGCCACTCCATGAGATCAATTTTTTGGAGCATTATCATGCTGGAAAATCTAATGCCGGTTTTACCTACACCAATGCCACACCACCCCCCGCCGGAGCGGCTTGGAAACCGTTCCAAATAATGTTCTTCTATGAGTAGGTCATGGATATAATAATTTTAGCCATCAGTTTCTTCCAAATTCAATTTTTCTCATCATAAAAGACAACATGCTGCCATTGGGTAGACCACGTCATGTTCGCCCGGCCAAAATTAATGCGTATTTCTTTTCTCAGCATATCGACTGGTATCTTTTTTTTTACATTCTGTTTCTTTAAGTAATTAGCTTTCTTAACTGCTCTTTGGACCGTTGATAAGCTCGTCTTAACACCGATTTTATCCCTAATCTTGGTGGTCGATTCGTGGGAATTCGAAGCTTCCCGAACTAATGCTCTTCTATTTCCTTCTGAAATCACTTGATTATTGCCGCTTATATAGTTTTTTCCATAGTTTTCCCTATTTGTAAGAAAATTGCCAATTAGTTTTCTGTTTTTTCCTGTTTTTTCAGCAATTTTATGATAGCATAGTCCAGAATTAAAGTATGCCTCAATCTTTGATTTTCAACCAAAGATAAAACTTTTTCTTTACCCATACTATAAATATGTTGAATACTTTGAGCTTCACAAAAAATTTGGTGAGTGTAATTGCCAAAATAAGCAAGATAATTACAATTGCATATGGGGGCGCTAATCTGATGACGCAAAGAAGAATAGAAATTAAAACATAACGGGTTTTCACTCGCGCTTTTTTTTTGGTATGGGAGACATCTCATATGATGATAATGAAATCAAAATAAAAACAAGTAAGAAAACTGTAGTCGAGACTGCTCGACTACGAGATCCCCTGAACCTTTGGAGTAATAGCTATTTCAATAATTTTTCGCTTCTTTCAGCTTACACAAGACACACGCATACACACACAAACGCATACACACATACACACACACACACATACACACATACACACACACACATACACACACACAATCACCCACGCATAAGCACGCATGGGCTGCAGTGTGCGCTTACGATGAGAACCTAATCATACGATCATCATAAAACTTTTGGATTATGATTATAGTTATTGAAATACGCCTTTTACAAATGTGAGGGTGAGGGGGTGGACATAGAGGTGGGGGGTACATTTTAACAAAAACCGAAATTGTATAAATTGCATATAAGCATACATTAAAAATTTGGAGACTCTAGCAATAAAGGTGTAGAAGATATAATTTTATAACTGGTTTTCGATAAGGGTTTTTATCGATAAAAAAATATCGGGATGAGTTATCGATTTTTAATGATAAACTCCATATCCGCGCTGTAAATATCTTCTCTTATATCTTCTGAAATCGACGCGTTCATACATACGGACAGACGGACGGACGGACGAACAGACGGACGGACGGACAGACAGACAGACGGACAGGGCCAAATCGACTCAGCTCGTCGCCCTGATCAAGAATATATATACTTTGTGGGGTCTGCCACGCCTCCTTCTGCCTGTTACATACATTTCAACAAAATCATTATACCCTGATTTCCCATTGAAAATGGGTTCAGGGTATAAAAAATGGAAAACATTACTAACAAGTAAGAAAACTCTAGTCGAGAGTGCTCGACTAGATACTACCCTGAACCCAACTAATAAAAATGCCCATTTACTATGGCTAAAATTTCAACTTTGATGTATTTAAAAATATAAATTAAATAGAAAACTCATTTATGAAAATATAAAAATATTTTGAAGCAATTAAAAAAATTATCATCAGTTGCACCGATCGGGTTTCGAACCGCGACTTCTCGATCCAGCGTCATGCCGCTAACACACTACGCCACCTCACTTCGCCAAGTGGCGCTGGCAAAACTCAAATAGATTCACTGCTGCAGCGCCATCTACCAAAACTAAACGAAACTAACAGCTGATGTGATTCAAAGAATGTTCTAGAAGAAGTTTGAATACACGTGTGCACACGCATACGATGCTGTTGTAGCTGCTGCACGTGCGTTTGTTAATTGGCCAAATATTTGATGATTTTTAATTAATTTTTGACTGAGCGGTATTTAATGAAACTTTCAGCATATGATCTACATATTATATTAAATATTTGAAAAATTTAAAAAAATTAAAAATCATTCACAATTAGCTATAGGGGCATCTGACTTGAACTTGAATGTTTTTACTCGATAAAAACATAACGGGATGATTTATCGAATTTTAGAAGCAAACTCGACGTCCGCGCTGTATTTACGGTCATTTGAAAAAAAAATTGAAGTCTCTAGCTCTTATATCTTCGGAAATCGACGCGTACAAACATGCGGACAGACGGACGGATGGGCAGACGAACAGACGGACAGGGCCAAATCGACTCAGCTCGTCACCCTGATCAAGAATATATATACTTTGTGGGGTCTGCCACACCCCCTTCTGCCTGTTACATACATTTCAACAAAACTGTTATACCCAGATTTCCCATTGAAAATGGGTTCAGGGTATAAAAACGAGTGAGTGAGTGAGCACTGAGACAGCGAGCAGCGCCAAAGTATGAGTGTCTCTTTTAGCGTTGCTATTTGTTACTTGTCATGTAAACTGTCTATAACTTTAGATTATATTTTATTCATTTACTCCTACAGGCTGGGCCTCTTCAGTGGGGTGGCTTTAATTGTCGGAACTATGATAGGTAAGTAACTAAAATTTGAAAATTTTGTTTATAGGTTCGACTACGTTTTATAATAACAAGTAAGAACGTTGCAGTCGGGCGTTACTGACTACGGAATACTCATTCACTCCACGCATTCATCAGCCATTTAGTAGTTAAGTTTCTTTAATACTGTAGAAAATACAGATTTTTCCGATTTGCCACGCCCCTACTGGGCGTAGACACCTCATTTTTGATCATTTGTTAGAACGGGATAACGGTATTCTAACGGCAAAGTATGAATGCCTACCCTCTAAAAATTACAGGGTATTTTTCGATATGCCACGCCCCTAAAGAGGAGTACAAATTGTTTTTAGGTCATCGATAGAGGAGGTTATTGGTAGCTTAATTATCTAAATTTGAAGCTTCTAGCTATTACTCCTGAGGAGGTATAAACTTTTGCGGTTTGCCACGCCCCCTGTGGGCGGACATATATCCGACAAAACTTTTTGTTCTTGGGTGATTAGCCCGAGTATATATACAAAATTTGAGGTCTCTGGCATCAATTGTGTCCAAAATATAGCAGAATTTATAAAAACCACTATATCTTCAGGTCCGATTTGCCACGCTCCTAATGGGCGTAGACTTATAATTTTGTCTTTAGTCTTTATAGAATCATAACACTAGCTGTAAAACTCTTGGAGATACAGTTTTATCCGATTTGCCACGCCCCCAATGGGCAGAGATATATCCGCCATAGCTCGTGATCTAGGATGGTCGACGCGGATCTACGTATCAAATTTCAGCTTTCTTCAACTAACATGACTTCTGACGTATCGGAAAATGCATTTTCCGATTTGCCATGCCCCTAGTGGGCGGATCGGGAAAATTTTAACACTTTATAAATCGGAGATATATACGAGTATGTGTTCCAGATTTCAAGTCTCTAGCTTCAATAGCGCCGAAATAGATTGCGTTCATACGGACAGACGGACGAACGGACAGACGGACAGACGGACGGACGGACAGACGGACGGACAGCAAGACGGACATTGCACAAAACCAATATACTAATTCACTTTCGTGAATGAGTATAAAAAGAAATTTCTTATTACTTACACTAACCAGAGAACACATAGATTTGACATGTAGAACAAATTTTTTCAACACCGAAAAAATGCGCTGAAGCGACCGGACAACTTCGTATTTGGTCGGCTCGGTCGTTTGAAGCTCAAGCAGTCAAAAAAAAAATAAGGCACGACAAAATCAACGCGCTGCGACTGCTGCCACGAAATACACACATTATCAGATGTAGCACGGTTATGCGCTCTTTTTCCCTTACTCACTATCTCCCTCTCTCTATGGTATCTCACATAGCAGCAGCGCACAGAAATTGAAAATTGTTCGCGACGATCCCAGCTCTTTCCTTTTGAGTGAAGGGTATACCGAAATCATAAAAGCGTTTGTTCACGCTCATGCTAACAAAATGTAAGCGTTTCGATGGCTATTCGTGGGAAGGTTATGAAAGCGCTGATGCGCATAAAGAATATGGTTTCGTGACGGGCAAGCACACACACACTTGCAGTCTCTGGAAAAATGTGTGAGCATTTGTGGCCTGTGTGCGTAACTCTTTCTGCCTGAGCAAATAGTAATGCCCAAAATTGACCGTTGATTGGCCTTTGAGGGAGCACATACATTTGCATACATATGTGTACATATGTATGTATGAGATGAAATGATAATTGTCTGGCGATTCATGCATGAGCGTGAACAAACGCTTTTATGATTTCGGTATACCCTTCACTCAAAAGGAAAGAGCTGGGATCGTCGCGAACAATTTTCAATTTCTGTGCGCTGCTGCTATTTGAGATACCATAGAGAGAGAGGGAGATAGTGAGTAACGGAAAAAGAGCACATAACCGTGCTTCATCTGATAATGTGTGTATTTCGTGGCAGCAGTCGCAGCGCACTGATTTTGTCGTGCCTTATTTTCACAGCTTGAGCCTCAAACGACCGAGCCGACCAAATACGAAGTTGCCCGGTCGCTTCAGCGCATTTTTTCGGTGTTGAAAAAATTTGTTCTACATGTCTAGTCTATGTGTTCTCGGGTTAATGTTACTTATTACCATACAGCAGCCCATGAGTGTTTATGCATGCTTACGTATGCGTGTGTGCGTGCGTGTCTGTGTACATGTGTTGTTTCTTCTATGAGCAGGGGAGCAGGGGATCTGGTGCCTTGTAGTCTCGACTCACGATTGAGTGATAGTAGGTTATGCAAAGTGAGCAGCTGATTTGACAGCGTGACGTCATTATTTCAGAAAATGGTGGGCGCGCGTTTGAATTTGTATGAAAATCAAGCAACTTTGACATTGTTATTTGGATTCACGAATCGGAAAATATTAAGGTTTTTGCTAATTTTTATACTCTAATTCGTTTTCTAAGCAGTTATTGATCATGTAATCCCTTGACCACTTTTACTTTTGCATATAATGGATTTAACCTTACTATCTAAGACTTGAATTTGTAAAACTAAAAAGTTACTACTAAGTATTATGCATTTCCCATCAATCCGCATAATCATGTTTTGGACGACTTAGTCGATCTATGCTGAAATGCCTGCCAAGCTTCAGCCGGGATAACACAGCAAAATCAGATAATGTGACGTCACAAGAGAGCTGTTAGTTAACATTAAAACTAGGTACACACGTTGCAAACAATTTGCAGCAAGTTAAAAATAATTTGCAGCAAAAGTTTGCACAAATGTTCACACCAATGCGAATATTACTTACTTCAATCAATTTTTGATTTGCACGCAAACTTTTACATGGCTATTTCGTGCAATATATTGTAAACAACGTTTTCATTCGAGTACTGAATAGCTAATGCTCTCCGTATTTTATTCAAATAAAGTCTTAGCCTAAATACATAAAGTTTACATAAAGATTTCTGTCGCTAAAAGCAGCGACAGAATGGGAGTATATAACATGCTGTATGTGTGTGTATATATGTTTGTATGCATATGCAGAAGGCATATACATTTTAGCGTTTAAGCTGCGGCGTGGACAAGAACGCAACAAATATTGCATTAATGTCTACACGTGTTTTCATTTTTTGTTTTTGTTTGCATTGCTTGCAAGTGACACTCATTTGCAAGTTCTGTTGTTTTGAAAAAGTCAAGGATTAACGACGTGTTTATGTTATGTCTGCACAAAAATCGGGAGTTGCTCCTGTTGCTATATTAGCAATTTTGATAGAGCGAAAAAAAAGAGAAGATCAAAGTCTGCCAAAAAAAAAAAAAAAAGTGTTGGGTGAAAGAGTGGATTTCTATAAGAGATGAAAAAGGAGTGCATCAGAACCTTTTAAAAGACCTACAATATGGCGATGAAACAAAGTATTACAATTTTTTTCGCATGTCCGTTAGTGATTTCAATTTTTTATTAGAAAAAGTACATTTTTTCAGCAATTTCGCGATAAGCATTTTGCTTTTTATACCCTGAACCCATTTTCAATGGGTATAATGGTTTTTTTGAAATGTATGTAACAGGCCAAGGAGGCGTGGCAGACCCCACAAAGTATATATATTCTTGATCAGGGTGACGAGCTGAGTCGATTTGGCCCTGTCCGTCTGTCTGTCTGTCCGTCTGTCCGTCTGTCTGTCCGTCCGTCTGTCCGTATGTATGAACGCGTTGATTTCAGAAGATATAAGAGCTAGAGTCTCCAAATTTTTAATGTATGCTTATATGCAATTTATGCAATTTCGGTTTTTGCTAAAATTATTGATTGAAATAGCTATTGCTCCAAGGGTTTAGGGGATCTCGTAGTCGAGCAGTCTGACGAAACATCCCATAAAACTAAAAAATTCTCTTACGATTCAATTAATTCAATCGTTTTCTCGCGATCCTACATTTTGATTTGATTGCTGCAATATTGCGACTGAAAGCAAACAGCACATGCAAACAAGCAAGCAACTGATGCAACCAAGTTAACGGTAAAATTATGTATTCAGACGACAAGCAAAAGCAACCAAGTTAACGGTAAAATTATGTATTCAGACGACAAGCAAAAAAAGTTGCCGCAAACAGTTATTGCAAATTTTTTGTTTGCAGCAAAATGTTTGCACTCGTGTTCAAACGTGCAAATTTGATTGCAGCAATCAACTTGCTGCAAATTGTTTGCATCGTGTGTACCTAGCTTAAAAGTAACCGGACTGTTCTTTGCGCAACCTACTATGTCTTTTAACAGTGGCCTCGACTGGAGCTTTCATACTTGGTTATTTTGCAAACAGTACGTAGAGGCTTGTTATATTCTTCATTTCTTTTATGTATAAATATATTGCCAGTTCATATTATTAAGAGCTACTTATCAGTTTTCTTGTACTTCGCCTTTATTCAATATTTTTTGCCTACTGTTAATTTCCTTTCTGTCTATCTGTCTGTCCGTCCGTATGTATGATCGCGTCGATCTCAGAAGATATTAGATCTAGTGATTTGTATACCCTAACAACATTGAAAATAGGAAATCGGGGTATAATGGTTTTCTTGCAATGTATGTAACAGTCAGAAGGAGGCGTGGCAGATTCCACAAAGTATATGTATGTATTCTTGATCAAAGCGACGAGATGTGTCGATTTGGCCCTGTCCGTCCGTCCGTCTGACCTTATGCTTGAACGCGTCGATCTCAGTAGATATAAGAACATTGACTTGAATTTCTTTTGTGGTTTCATTACATACATTAGCCCGATTCATACGGCATATTCTATTTTAACTATTTTACATAAAAAATTTTAAGATATATTTACATATATAAATAAAAATGGTTCCAATTTGAAATAATTGCAGGGTCTGGAATATTTGTGTCACCCTCTGGCTTACTGGTTCGTACCGGTTCCGTCGGGGTTAGCTTCATAATCTGGCTTGCCTGTGGTCTGCTCTCGCTGTTGGGTAAGTATCTCATCCAACCATACAACCAGTGTTGCCGTTTTGGCTTATTTTCGGCCATATCTGGCTTATTTGACAGTGCGATTGCGGAAGAAATTTGGAAATTGCGGATAGCGTAAAATCTGGCTTATTTATGAATAGAATCAGCTAATACATATTTTGTTTAAAATCTAATATTACCGATTAATTGACAAACTAACAAGCTGGCAACTATTTAAGGCTAACATCACAAGTTCTGCAAATAATTTCATCTCTAACATATAGTGGTTAGATAGATTTGCTGTTGCGCTTCGCATACATTCGTTACCTTGGTGGAATGCCGAAGTTGAAGGGTCTTTAGCCAAGTCAGTTTAATAAAATATCAACCAAAGGGAAAATGTTTAAAGAAATACAGTCTCATTAAAACAGAAACTAATATTTTTAAAAATTTACATCCGAATTGAGCCGAGATAGCAGATGATGTTTTGATTACAGAGTTTTTCTAAACTGCCTCAAATCGATCGCAACCAAGGAATATTTAAATTATGAGACCGAAGAGTCTGTAGACTATCTATTAGCAGATTTATTATTAATGTAAGCATTTAAAATGTATAATGTTAAAATATCAATTATTTTCGTTTTGTTTTTCATGAATATGAAATGTTTGTTACAATATTTGTACGTGTATCTATCTATTACAATATAAAGAAAACAATTCTAAAATATTAGCTTATTTTTCAGCTAATTGTTTCAGAGATTTAGCTTGTTTTTGCTTATTTTATGTCCTGATTCAGATATTTTTTCTCGGGAAAAAACGGCAACACTGCATACAAAACATACGCTGGAGTAATAGAACAAACTTTCACTGCACAAAATCTGTGCATTTGTGTTTGCTGGACACGGTCCCCCCCTTAGCATTGCAGTGCACTATGGGTCAAAAGCCCGTTTTCTGGAATTAATATCTTTTGAACCAGTCAAGATAATTAAATTTTGTTTTGCATTTGACTTTCGTTCGCAACTCGCGTTTGTGATGAAAAAATGGGTGTGGCACCGCCCCTATTTCATATTATTAGCTGTCATAACCTTTTGCTTTTTAAGTAAATAAACCAAATTCACATATTAGGTGTGTTTTCATGTGATCAATGATCAAAATCAGATAACTATATCATATAGTTTTATTGGGAAAAAATGTTTCAAGGAATAAAAGGCTATATTGTATGATTTTAAGCACAAATAACATTAAAATATATCTCTTTTATTGTTAATCATCGTATTCTTCCAGAGCTTGCAAATGAGAGTTGATCGTTTTTTCGTTTATGCTCTGCTTCGCATCATAACCAAAAAAATTGTGCAGACACGACTCCCTCTGAGCGTCACTCTTTGTTTTCTTTAGAATCTGTTTCGCTCAGACGCAATGCAATGACTCATTCATGTGACGCTCTCACATGAGTGCCGCGTAAAGACTAACACGATCTTCCCTCATACAAAGACTCTCAGCAAACAACAGTTTGACTAAAAAACTCAGCAGAAATTGCTTTTGCCTTTGTGTGCATGTAAATACACGCATACATACATACAAAAAGAACGCAGCAATCGCGCGTGATTACCCATACAAACGCAACTGACAGTCAAGCAAACGATCAGTGTTTGACTTGAGGAAACGAAAACAGAAATAACTGTCTCCCTCAGAGTGCGAGCGAGCTAAGCCAGACGCGACAAAAACAGTTTCTGTCTGAGTTTTTTTGACTGTGTCAGTGAAAGACACTTATTTGCAGACAACGAAAAAGTGTTAACAGTTATTTGCGAGCTATGTATTCTTCATTAACTGAGGCTAGCATGCCAAAAACCTCCAAATTTGAAAAGTCAATGACAGTTTTTGACTTACACAAAACTTGACATCACAAAGATTTTGGACAATACAAACACATAAAAACAAAGAACAAGCCCGATTCCATATTTCCCACCAAAATTGTAATCTAATTGCCACACACGCACATACACACACACACGGGAGTCGAGTTGCGTTTTAGTGGAGTACGGTCGACGTCATCGTGATCTGTGTTTTTCCCTGTGAAAGTGGAAAGAACTGTAGACAACGTGGTTGCTGTGGGCGCGACGCACCCAGCGACGGCAAAAACTATCAAAGACTTACTTCGCGGCGGTCTCGCTGAGTACCCCAGTGGTACAATCCGGTGGTGCAAGAGAGGGGGGCAATAGCGTCACTGTTTTTGGCGTCAGGGCTTTCCTCTTTCCCTTTCTTTTTTAAGCGCGAAAAGATTTGTCACATTAAACGTCACATTTGTGCAAATAATAAAAAATCAGGTGCATTCACTCTAACAGCTGTTAGTAGTGCTGGAAATTGCAGCGGACAATCAGCTGCTCACTAACTTTGGTGAGTTGCTAAGTCTCAACAAAGACAGCAACCTAGCTGCTGGTGTGAGGTAGCAGGTATTAAAAGTAGTGCATACTTTCGGGCTCTCGCTGTAGTCAAGTTGAGTTTAAGTTACTGCGGTCTCTAAACTCAAATTATATTAGTAGGCAGTGCCCACTTCAGGCTTTACGGCGTGGTAGTCGGAGCAATATGGAGGCCATGATTGAAGAAGAGCTGCAAGCTTTCGCGCGCCTTTCCTCGTTGCAGCAATCGCCGCAGCAACAACAGAGGGCGTTGCCGCAGCCGTCGACTTGTAATCAGTCTCCAGTGGCTGAGTGCCAGGCACCCAAGTCTTTAAAAGAAGCGTTAGCTCAAATAGGAGTTACGCTAGAGGGTTTGTCTGCTCTATTTGGGGGGCAGCGGCATATAAATGTACTAATGAGAGAGGAACTGGCTAGGCTGGTCAGTTTCCACAAGACGGCCGAAGGGTTCTGCAACCGACCGGTCAAAGACTGCGAGGTGCAGACCACGCTGGTCAAGAAAGTAGCTGAGAAGGCTAAAACAGCGAGTGGTAGTGCTACAGCAGGTAGTAATACGCCCAAGCGGTCGAGGGAAGTTGCCACTGACTAACTTATGGCTTTACAGTTGCTATCTGGCCCCCAGCATGCAGCTCAGTGAATTCACGACGGTGCTCGACGAGCTTGCCGAGGATGCTAGGGGTCGGAAGGCCATTATAGCTGGAGATTTTAACTCCTGGGCGTTAGAATTGGGTAGCCTCACAACAAATGCCAGAGGTCGTATCCTACTGGAGATCTTCGCGACACTAGATGTTGCACCGCTCAACACTGGCCACGAGTATACCTTCAGTCGGGCGGGATACGGGTCTGTTATCGACATTACTTTTGTCACTTCATCCCTCTTTCGGGGAGCAACATGGAGCCATTGCGATAGCTATACGGGTAGCGATCATACGGCACTTCTATTCACAATAGGTGAGCCACCTGCCAGGGTGTCAACCTTGTGGAGAGAGTCGTATCGGCTAGATACTTTTGATCCCGCGGTCTTTTCAGAGGCCATTCAGTCTCTGGGCACAATTGGTAATGCTGAGGCCAGAGCATGTCAAATGGTAGCCCAAATACAGAGTGCCTGCAATAGCAGCATGTTACGCCGCAAGCAGTTCACGCGACAACAAGAGCCTACGTATTGGTGGAATGCACAAATAGGTAACATTCGTCGCAAACGCATCCAGGCGAGAAGAAGCTACCAACGGGCTCGCGGTAGGTCTACGTTTTTTGAGAAACAATAAGCTTACCAGGCAGCTAAAAGACAGCTGAAAAGGGTCATTCGGGCAAGCAAAAGAGAATGCTTTTTAGAGTTGTGCGACTCAGCCGAATATGACCCTTGGGGCAGGGCATATAAGATAGTAGTTAAAAGACTATACGCAGGTAGACAGGTGCAGCCTACGGATCGTCTGGAGCTTAAATCGATTGTGGAAACGCTCTTTCCAGAATGTTTAATCTCCATTCACGCCCCTGAGTCCGAGTCTGCTGATCAGGGCTCAACGAGCACTGAAATTGTTTTAGTCACAGAGGAAGAAATCATAGTAACTCTCCGGAATCTTAGAACCAACACTGCTCCAGGGCCGGACGGGATCCCAAATCGTGCGCTAAAGCTAGCCCCCGCCTTGCACCCCAGTACGTTCGCTGAATTATTCAACGAATGTCTAATTCAAGAGACGTTCCCGGCAAAATGGAAAGCCCAGAACCTGGTGTTGCTACCCAAGGCTGGCAAACCACCAGATGAGCCATCTTCATACAGACTCTTAGACACCATGGGAAAGGTGTTTGAGAAATTTATCTGCTCTAGACTGGAGACTGCGATTACTAGCGCCGGAGGCCTGTCACCAAATCAATTTGGATTCCGGAAGGCCCGGTAAACAACGGATGCGCTAAACAAAGTTGTTGGTCTGGCCACTTCCGCCATCCATGGCACAAGATTGAAGCATGGGACGAAGCAATACTGCATTATTGCGACTCTGGACGTAAAGAATGCCTTCAACACAGCTAGTTGGGATATGATACTGAATGCGCTGTCACAATATAATATCTCTAAATATCTAAGAGATAATAAAGAGCTACTTCAGAGGAAGAACACTGGTATACAACACGAGTGAGGGTCCCCAAACTCATGCAGTGTCAGCTGGAGTACCCCAAGGCTCAGCGCTGGGGCCTCTCCTATGGAATATCATGTACGACGGCGTACTGCGCTTGGAAGTACCAACCAACATTGGCTTTGCTGATAATGTGGCTGTCGTCACCATAGGTAAGGAGCTTAAAGATACAGAGGATATGTGCAGCGAAAGTATCAATCGCATACGAAGCTGGTTGACAAGAGCTGGGCTTGAGCTAACGGCGCACAAGACGTAAGTCGTCCTAGTAAGCAGTCGCAAAAATGTGGAGACTGCCAATATAAGGATAGGCAGCGTTACCATCGCGTCATGTTAGACACAAGATTAACTCTCAATACGCGGGGACCTATACAGCAACGACGTCTTCTTCTAATGAGCGTCATTAGGTCTGTCATCCTCTATGCTGCGCCAATATGGTCAAGAGCGATGGCAACGCCGAGCTACAGCCGGGGCATTTGCGCGATC